GGGCCAGGCATTTTCATCTCGTCTGATTTGACCATCTCTATTGCACAGGGCCTGGCTGCTGCATGCATGAGGTTTGTGCATTGTGCATGTGTGAATGGTGACAGGAGACGGCCACACCCACCCTCATGTGGGTCTATTTTGTCTATGTGACAATTGAATTGAATGCATCCTGATCATGTCAGAGATGCACACAAGTCTCTGACCCGCAAGTCCAAGTCAAGTCCCAGTCCTTGGCCCAGGAGTCCAAGTCAAGTCCAAGTCTCTGGACTCGCAAGTCCAAGTCTCATTTCCTACGCATTAAAATGATGGCAAATACATTTTTAAAAGAACTAAAATATGTGAATTTATTGTACTGTTTTTTAGAGCACATTTTTCCAGCCTTAAACATTTCAGCCTGCAGTTCCATACAGGCTGAAATGTATGGCCTGCATACAGTGGCCTGAAATGCCAAATGGTTCATAAATGGTTGGACTGGGACCAAAAACGGCCTTGGGATTTTTGCCTCAACGGCCCTGTTTGTTGTCACTTTTTTTGAAGCACACACTGTAGAGGATGTATGCAGTTTCAACAATTAAGATAAAGTTCAATAGTCTACGTTACAGAGTAACAAATGTCACTACAGTGAGGGCACAGAACCAAAACTATTGTTTGTTACAGGGATGAGAATGGGACATTTCAAAAAAGTCTGAAATACATTGTCTGTTTGTTTTGTTAACAACATTTTACGATTGGCACAACCAACATGAGCTGTTAATGCAAGGGAAAATTTACCTACCTCAGCTTTAATTTAGTGAGTTTAGAAGGAGACACATGTGGGACATGCCAGGGCACTTCAGGAGGCTCTATCATCCAGCTCTGTTTATTGCAGAGGTGTATAAAGACACACACACAACAAGCAGAGAATGGTCTTGTGCGCGTGCATGGTCCTGGGAACAGCACTGTCGCGTTGTCAGAGCGGCTCACAGCTCACACACAACTGATGCACATGATGCAGCCAACGCGTGCATTGCCGCACAGACCCGTGATCAAAGAGCGCGCACCCTTACCAGCCTGTGAAATGGATGGATCTGGAGCATCAGGACTCGCAATGTTCACAAGTCCAAAAACGAGTCCGAGTCAAGTCCGAGTCTTTAGGGGACAAGTCCGTGTCCGACTCGGAAGTCCCCATCTCTGGTTTATGTCATGTGCATAGCTGTCCAACATAATAAGAATAATAATTATAATAACAACCAGGAGGTGATTGACAAAAGAAAACAGCAAATTACCGCACACAGCCGCTCCAGAATCCATCTTATGGTCTATGGCACGGCACTGCCTCCACCACATGGAGCTATATCGTTTTCTGCTTTTGTTAATGACTGATAAATGTGTTTTTGGTGTAAATATGTGATGCACTCTTTTGCCCAAAGACAAAGAATGTGGCCCGGCTTTTTAATGTAAGTAAAATTGATGATCGACGTCTGCATCTCTTCACGCGGCAATCAGAGGGAACAGAGGGAAACAGACAATTACGTTAGAGCAGAGAGATGAATACACATTTGTGACAATGGTAGGGGAAGCTGTTTTGTGAAGAGGCACGCATCAACACACTGTAAAAATGGAGCAGTCTTATTTCAAGCACAATATCAAAATATGTTTGTAATTTCATGTGAACATTGTTCTTGCCTTAAGAGACAAGAGATTAAACACTTGTGGCATTGGCAAAATATAGGATAGTACAAAACAGTAACTCGCTTTTTAACAGCATATGTCATTAATTATGCCCTTTCTGTCTTTGGAAAAGGTTTATATTTTTACATCAGAATGCACTTGCACTCCCACAGCCTACAGGTAAAAAAAAGAAGCTTTTTGTAGCCCTTTGCTGTACTGGCTTACCAGGTTTGGGCCTTAGCCCTGTAGTTAGAAGTATTGTTCAAGTCATATTGATACCTTATGTAATTTTTCTTTGGTATCGCCCTAAATCACAACAGTAGTCATCTCAGAAGACTTAACAAAACCATTGACATAACATAACATGTCCATACATGTTGTAGAATGTTAAAGTGTCCTGGATCATCACCAGAGTCCTTCTTGTAGATCCAGGACCTAAGCTACAGAACATGGACCAAGGTCATGCAGCAACAGCAGAACGTGGACAGGTCCGGTGCAGGACTGAAGCAGCTCCCAGGCGGGTGTAGATGGAGGGGGCCGGGTTCAGAGGTCCCGTTATCGCACCATGAAATAGATGATGGGACAACGGGTGAATAGCAATTAACACACTACAGCCAAAATCCGAATAATGCAGACAGATAAAGTAGGATGGAGGAGTTACCGTACTTCTCCCAGCAGACTGACTTCCTACACAGCTTGACTGACAATCTGAGATTTTTAGCCTTCCCTGAGTCTTACCTTCCTGACCATAATTAAACCATACTTAACCATACCTGACCAGTCTTCTAAGACTGGTCAGGAATGGTATGCGTTCACAGATTATTTTTTTTTTAAATTATCCTTATGTCTGTGATCTGTGTCACAAGGCAAAATCTCCCAAAGTCTGTGAGCTTTAAGGAACGTGCTTATTACAGACGGTTACAGATTAAATTAATTTGCTATTCTGGGATTGAAAATCTGTGATTTTTTTATTTTAGTCTAATACTGCTTTTGTAAATAGAAATATGAATCTATCATAATCCAATGTGTTTTGGTCAGGCTTGTAGATTGTCTGCTCTTAGTAATAGTGGCGTATGCTGTATTTTTATCTTCAATGCATTCTCCGCTAACTTGGCCTAAATATAACTCAACAACGTGACGTAATGGTCTATTTTTAACCCTTGTGGTGAACTATGAAACGGAGACTTCTTGTTCAATTGATAAAGAGACAAGTTAATGTATTTCATCGCAAATTCTCCATAGTTACAGCCGTCAATCAAGAACATGAACAATTCAATTTCACCAAAAAAAAAACATACATTGTCACATTATTTATACCCTCAGCCATACGGTATTTTTTTTATGAATACAGATGAATTTATTTCCTGAATGTGTTTACAGCTGTTTATCTCGTGCTGCCACAGTGTAAATAAAGGTTATCTTAACTTATTAGATTCTTATTAGAACAATGAATGTTTTGCTTTTGCTTTGTGGCTCAGCCTAAGTTGTTATTTAAACTAAACATTGTTGATTACATAGGAAAACAAAATAAGTGGTCTAATCACTCGTTTCACATAATGCTTAAGTAACAACTATCTAATGCCACTCATCTTAGAGTATGCCACCTTTCAGCATGCACAACACACTTATTACACCAAGAATGAATAAAGAGAGGGAGTGGGAGAACAGCTGGTTCCAACAGCAAGACTCCAAAACTATAATCTATAACTTCAGTTTTTACTGTGTAGTTTTTACTCCCATCTATCGTTAAGATCTTATTTTGCAGTCCTTTGGTCCTACAGTAGCTTAGTAGGACAATATGTTTTCTTTAACTGTGGTCCCAAACTCCTGGGCATTCGCACCAGGCCGCCAAGGAAAGAATCCTTTAGTTTGATAAATGTCCGAATCTCTGCATTCGTCTTGGTCACTTGACACGGTAGCACTCGTCCACTGCACGTGCCTGGAGGCTGAAATGTAACCAACGTCCAAGCGGCACCCAGACACTACACAGGGGCTCTAATGTAGTTTTACAAACGTAGTGTGAACATAAGAGACTGAGGAATGGGACGTCTGTGGGAACTTAAACCCATGATGAAGCCGGGACATTGCCATATCCATTGGACATGGATATACAAAACGCCAGAACTGTGGCTAAGAGCTCAAATTATTATTATCTTTCACCATATCGGCCCATTCGCATCAAGGTGATAAAACAGAACATTCAAACACCAGCTGTTGAAGTATTCTGGCGATTCTAGGATTCTGTGTGTTTTTCATATTTGATGCTTGTCCCTGGATTAGTTTAGTCGAAACTAAACATTGTAGTTGGACTCGGAGCGGGTCAAAACATCCTGAGACCCGTGTTGCAGATTCTGCCTCGTTCTCATCACTGTCGGTGTGAAGACAGTTACATATTGTTCATGTGTGCACTTGTTGTGTAACTACAGCAATGTGCTTCTTATTGCCTTTCGGTGCTTGTGGTTCGTGATGTTGACAGTTCGCTGATTTTTGCATTATTATTATTATAACTTCAAACTTGTGAGGACACAACGGAAGCAGTGAAATTAAGCAGAGTTGAAGTTAAACAACATTTTTCACACTGCAGCCCACCTCAGGTTTCCCCGCTCTGTGGCAAACATCCCACCGCTGCTGTTACGAACATAAGTGTCCTTTCTCGGCGTGAACAGTTCCTATTGCTTCTATTTTAGTCTGTCACAGAGTATATCACTCTTGTTTATGGTCCCGTCCAGGTGCAAACAATTTCAGTCGTATCAACAAAAAAAAATGTGTCTATCTGATTTCTGATTCTGAAGATCTGCATTTTTCTGGGATTTGGGCTGTTCTGGACTCGGATATAAAATGTTCATATTGATTCACACAACAACTACAATCAAAAACAAATGTCAGTGTATACAAATGATTACAAAGGTTAATTTATTGGTGGACCTGAAGTTGGCTGGATGATACTGTCAAAGCGCCTCAGTGGCTACTTTGTGGTTCTGATGCCCTGGAGTCATTCAAATCTCTTTCAGAATAACTCGATCCAAATTGTTCTCAACTTTTCGTCAAATCTGAAGAAAATCTCTAGACCTGCTGTGTCTTTAGAGTTTAAGTTTATCGTCAGCGGTGGAGGGAGGGTGTGCTGCGTGTGTCTTGGTCTGATTTGATGTTTCCTGTCACTGGCTCACAGCGCCACCGCCAGGCCTGGCTCAAACCTTACAATTCTCTCAGGGGAAGGCACTTTTTATACCATGACATTGCGATCTCATTGATATCGCCACATCCTGAAATATAAGCGTTGTTCCTATTGTATAGATTGTTTTTAAGAGGCTGCTCTGTATGTGTGTCTGTACAGGTGGTGTGGCGCAGAGATGAGGCCCCGCCCACACATGCTGCCGCTGCTGCTGGTAAGTCTCCTTCAGATTCTGGGGGCCACAGTCTAGACAAAAACATAAGGACACTCTGATCTCTCCACATGCTGTGCCCTTGTTCTCCCCAAAGATGTTACCGTGGACCTCTCTGAAAAACTCTTTGCACACTCCAATCAGGTGGCTTTTCCCTCTGCGGTCCCCGATTTTTAAAAAGGCTCTGGGACAACAGTGGGAAAGGTTAGCAAGGCTTTTCAGCACAAGGAAGACAGAAACATGTAAAACAAAAGGGTCTAAACTAACTTTCAAGTTGCAATGCACCAAGGACCAGGGAATCAGATCTTAATGGACAACGGGAAATTCATTATCTACATGGAGCAATACTTTTCAACATATTTTTTACCATTGACATGTTCACAAAGGGGAGATCAGCACGCGCAACATCCCAAACTCAACTATCAATAAAGTATCTATCAAACTCTGATTGTATGAGCTTCACTCACCCAAATGCAGCTCCACACCGTGTCATGTTGTTATTAGTATTTCCCATTGTGTGAAGTTTAATGACCTTCATCTGACCCACATGGAAGCAACAACCCTATAATAATGCTGCATTTAGTCTCGACACACTCAACACACCTACCAAAATGAGAAAGCTCTGCCCCCGATGCAGCTATATTGTCCACGAGTGCGAGTCTCACAGACAAGAGTGGCCTGCTGCGGTGTGTGCGTGGCCTGCTGCGGTGTGTGTGCGTGGCCTGCTGCGGTGTGTGTGCGTGGCCTGCTGCGGTGTGTGCGTGGCCTGCTGTGGTGTGTGTGCGTGGCCTGCTGTGGTGTGTGTGCGTGGCCTGCTGCGGTGTGTGTGCGTGGCCTGCTGCGGTGTGTGCGTGGCCTGCTGCGGTGTGTGTGCGTGGCCTGCTGCGGTGTGTGCGTGGCCTGCTGCGGTGTGTGTGAGGAGCTTTCAACCATCTCTTTTGCTCTCTGCCAAAGTGTTTCCTCACTTTGACGAGGTTGTGTTGTTGGTTTTGTGGCAAGAAGACCATTATCTTTGGATAATTACAGGAAACTATTGTGAAGAACTTCACTTTACTAGATCGTAAATATGAAACGGCTCCCCTTTTTATTATTCAACTCATCATAATTTCCCCAAAATTGTGCCATTGTTGGTAGGGCTGTCAAAATGATCGCGTTAACGCACATTAATTAATTTTTTTCATGAATCGCGTTAAAAGATTTAACGCTTTTAACGCCCATACATCCAATGATATCACTCAGAATGCTGCGGACACATGCGTGTGAGATGGCAATTTAAGTTAAAAAAGAATAGGCGCTGGACCGCGGTGCACTCGCTGTTGTTTGTTGTAATGAACTGAACGGGAGTTTGCACCCTCCGTGGTCGCGGCAAACGCCGCCTCCACGGAGTAACGTAAACAATGTTTATTATAACAATAAATAGTGTACATATGTACACTATGTTGTCATTTATCTTTCCATTCAAAGAACCATTTACAGAAAAATATGGCATAATTTTGCCGATAGTTCGAGATGCGTGTAATTACGATTAATTAATTTACAATTAAAAATGTTAATCGTTTGACAGCCCTAATTGTTAGATATTTCAAGCTTTCAAAGGTGCACGTGCTTACGTATATGTAGCCAATCTTTTAGAATAATATTTACTGTACAAATTGTAATAAATAAAACCAAGGATAGCAGACTCGACTAGTCTAATGGCTCAGGCCTCTGTGCGGTATCAGCAGCAGATTCACTGTAAATAGATTCACTGTACAGTAACAGTAAAGAGCTGGCAGCAGATTTCAAGAAATTTTCTTAATTTGTACGGTATCCAAATATAAAATACCTAAACAGTAATACACTATTAATAATAATAGTAGAAAATGCTTACTATAATTAAATTGACATTGAAAATAAATTATACATATTTTGTTACTTAAATAGCTCTCACAACACAACCTCATCTTTACATTTAAAACACATTGGTGTACTGAATTTAACTGTATTCCTGCTGGTTGCAGATCCAAAGTGAACAAAAGCAACGAATAACTACCTTTTGATTTCACAAATTTTTGTTCTTTTTCTATAATTTAACAAATTTACCCACTGAGGGACAAATGAAGGAATGTCTTATCTTTCATTGTTTGCGAGATTCTTGTCCGTATTTGTTGTGGTGTACCCTCTCCTTGCCCTCTCTGTGCCCTCTGAGGAAGAACCTACCCCTCCACTCTGCTGTACGTCTGCATCCTAAAACAAGAGAGGTAAATAGCCCTCTGCCTAAGGGCTGTATCCTAACGTGAGACACGATATGTTGATAGGATGGATGCATCAGAAGACTATGTGTTGATGTCCCCCTTTAAAGGGCAGTGAGGTATTTCAAAACATAAATGCCCAAAGTTAATGTTATTTGACATTACAGCTTAGTTTTACTGGATGTCTCTAACTGTTTTGTGGAGTCACTTTACTTATTCATTCTCTCATAAATAGAACATGAGTACAGTTTGGGGCGGTTGTTTAGTGTCTCCAAGTGACTTGAGTAGTGCAGTGGAGTGCTGTCCAGTGGCGGTCTGATGTCTGATGCTATATAATGTATTAGTTACACAGTTACACAATGCCTCCGGCTGAACCATGTTTTCCCTCTGATGCTGCCATCAGTGTGTGTGTGTGTGTGTGAGTGTGTGTGTATGTGTGTATGATTGGCTGGGCTAGTGTGTATGTGTGTGTAAGCTGCCTGGAGCCAAGTAAATCTTCCATCAAACACATTAAAGTGAATCTTCACATAACACTCACCCTTCAGTAAATCCATGCTGTAATATGTGTTTGTACCTCACATGTGTTGTGTTTTCATCATATGGGTCTCCCTCCCTGTGGGTTTCCCTAGTTCTCCTCCAAGGTTTCTCACTTTTTCCCACTGGGTTTTTTAAGAGTTTTTCCTTGTCGATGCAGGAGGGTCTTGTTGGACAGTTAGTGTCCAACAGAAAGGATTGGTGATGATCAGGACACTTTAGCATTCTACAACATGTATGGACATTTTCTTCTGTGTGTGCTTTATATTCTTCATGTGTTTTAACTGTTGATTCTCTGACCTGTGTTGGTGATTTCAATGGTTTTGTTAAGTCCTCTGAGATGACTTCTGTTGTGACCTAGGGCTATACAAGAATAAATTGTATTGTATTGTATTGTATTGTATTTTGTTCTCCGCTTGACTAACACACTTACCGACAAAGATATTCTATGCAACAATCCTGTGTTATTACGGTCTATGAGGAGCCATTGACAGTAAAGGGGCAGAGTGCTTGTTTGGTTTAAGGGGAAACAAAGCAACAGTGTTTATGGTCTATTGCTTTGTCCAGGCATTCCTTGCTGTAACTGTGACACAGAAGAAAACTTGTTTCCCAAGAGTGACGGCTCGTGCCCATCCACTGATAAACCCAAATCAAAGGCATGCAGTATAGTACCCAATGAAAATAATAGGGTCAAATGGAGGGGGAGCACCGATAATGCTGCTCAAAATCTTTAAAATTATGTATCTTTTGTGATATAAAAATGCATTGTTTTTTGTGCACTAAACAACGCTGCACGTCCATACACGATGGTTATAAACTACTACTATTGCCACAATACAATACAATACAATACAATTTATTCTTGTATAGCCCTAGGTCACAACAGAACTCATCTCAGAGGACTTAACAAAACCACTGAAATCACCAACACAGGTCAGAGAATCAACAGTTAAAACACATGAAGAATATAAAGCACACACAGAAGAAAATGTCCATACATGTTGTAGAATGCTAAAGTGTCCTGATCATCACCAATCCTTTCTGTTGGACACTAACTGTCCAACAAGACCCTCCTGCATCAACAAGGAAAAACTCTTAAAAAACCCATTGGGAAAAAGTGAGAAACCTTGGGGAGAATTAGGGAAACCCACAGGGAGGGAGACCCATTTGAGAAAGGGATCCGCTCCTCCGGACGGACAGGCTAATGATCTAGGACCTAAGCTAGCTACAGAACGTGGACCAGTGGCCGCTGAACGTGGACAGGTCCGGTGCAGGACTGAAGCACTCCCAGGCGGGTCGGGCGGGGCAGTCCCCAGGTGTAGATGGAGGAGGCCAGGTCCAGGGGTCCCGTCATCGTACCATGAAACAGACAATGGGACAACTGGTGAATAGCAATGAACAATCTACAGTCAAAATCCTAATAATGCTAAACAGGTAAAGTAGGGAGGAGAGGAGAGGATAGTTCTCAATTTACCATACTTCTCCCAGCAAACTGACTCCCTATGCAGCTTGACTGACAGTCTGAGGAGTTTAGCCTTCCCTGAGTCTTACCTTCCTAGCCATATGCTAAACTAAAGAGGACTGTTTTAAACCTAGCCTTGAATAAAGAGAGCGTATCTGAAAGGAGGTGAGACAGCAGCAGCCACGGCTAGGCTAGCCTAGGCTACAGCACCAAGATTCATGGATTGCACACCAAGTGTGCAAACCGATCCAGGCAAACAGCCTAATTATATGCTAAATTAAAGTAAAGTGCTTTAAGCCTGGCCTTGAATGTGGAGACCGTATCTGCTTCCTTAACATAAATGGGAAGCTGATTCCACAGTAAAGGAGCTTGGTAGCTAAATGCTCTGCCACCAACAGTGATTTTTGAGACCTTAGGAACCACCAGACGTCTGGCGTTTTGAGAGCGCAACGCTCGACTTGGTTGATACGACACTAACGTGTCTTGGAGATAAGAAGGAGCCAAGCCATTTATGGCTTTATATGTCAAGAGAAGGATTTTAAACTTTATTCTGTACTCCACAGGGAGCCAGTGGAGGGATTTTAACACCGGAGTTATGTGCTCCCTCCTTTTGGTACCTGTTAAGATCCTTGCTGCTGTATTCTGAACGAGCTGGAAGCTCTTCAAAAAGGGTTTAGGGCACGCTGCCAATAAAGCGGTACAGTAGTCAAGTCTTGAGGTGACAAAAGCGTGGATCAGTTTTTCCACGTCACTTTTAGGAAGGAAATTCCTGATTT